TGTTTTCCATGTGTTTTGCATCAGTAGTTTTGTTTCCACATTACACACCAAAAGAAAACCCATGTTCCATGGCTCGTTGGTCTAGGGGTATGACTCTTGCTTCAGGTGCGAAAGGTCCTGGGTTCAAATCCCGGACGAGCCCAGCTTTCTTTATGGTTCAACAACTAAATTTTCCAACCTTGTTGCATCTGTAGTTTTGTTTCCACATTGCACACCAAAAGAAAACCCATGTTCCATGGTCTAGGGGTATGATTCTCGCTTTGGGTGTGAGAGGTCCCGGATTCAAATCCTTGTTGAGCCCAGCTTTAATTATGGTTCAACAACTAAATTTTCCAACCTTGTTGCATCTGTAGTTTTGTTTCCACTTTGGCACATCAAATAAAACCCATACACCATGGCTCGTTGGTCTAGGGATATGATTTTCGCTTTGAGTGTGAGAGGTACCGGGTTCAAGTCTCGGGCTCAAATCCCGGGCGAGCCCATCTTTAAATATGGTTTAACACCTCAATTTTCCACTCTTTTTGCATCTGTAGTTTTCTTTCCACTTTGCACACCAACTAAAACTCATACACCATGGCTCGTTGGTCTAGGTGTATGATTCTTGCTTAGGGTGCGAGAGGTCCTGATTTCAAATCCCGGATGAGCCCAGCTTTCCTCATGGTTCAACAAATACATTTTCCACCCTTGTTGCATCTGTAGTTTTGTTTCCACTTTGCACACCAAATAAAACCCAGGTTCCATGGTTCGTAGGTCTAGGGGTATGATTCTCGCTTTGGGCGCGAGAGGTCGCGGGTTCAAATCCCGGATGAGCCCAGCTTTCCTCATGGTTCAACAAAAACATTTTCCACCCTTGTTGCATCTATAGTTTTGTTTCCACATTGCACACCAAAAGAAAACACATGTTCCATGTCTCGTTGGTCTAGGGGTATGATTCTCGCTATGGGTGCGAGAGGTCCCGGGTTCAAATCCATGTTGAGCCCAGCTTAAATTATGGTTCAACAACTAAATTTTCCAACCTTGTTGCATCTGTAGTTTTGTTTCCACTTTGGCACATCAAATAAAACCCATACACCATGTTTTCTTTCCACTTTGCACACCAACTAAAACTCATACACCATGGCTCGTTGGTCTAGGTGTATGATTCTTGCTTAGGGTGCGAGAGGTCCTGGGTTCAAATCCCGGATGAGCCCAGCTTTCCTCAAGGTTCAACAAATACATTTTCCACCCTTGTTGCATCTGTAGTTTTGTTTCCACTTTGCACACCAAATAAAACCCAGGTTCCATGGCTCGTTGGTCTAGGGTATGATTCTCGCTTTGGGTGCGAGAGGTCCTGGTTTCAAATCCCGGATGATCGCAGCTTTCCTCATGGTTCAACAAATAGATTTACCACCCTTGTTGTATCTGTAGTTTTGTTTCCACTTTGCACACCAAATAAAACTCAGGTTCCATGGTTGTTGGTCTAGGGGTATGATTCTCGCTTTGGGTGCGAGAGGTCCCGGGTTCAAATCCTGGATGAGCCCAGCTTTCCTCATGGTTCAACAACTACATTTTCCACCCTTGTTGCATCTGTAGTTTTGTTTCCACTTTGCACACCAAATAAAACCCAGGTTCCATGGCTCATTGGTCTAGGGGTATGATTCTCGCTTTGGGTGCGAGAGGTCTCGGGTTCAAATCCCGGACGAGCCCAGCTTTAATTTTGGTTCAACACCTATATTTTCCATGTGTTTTGCATCAGTAGTTTTGTTTCCACATTGCACACCAAAAAAAAACCCATGTTCCATGGCTCGTTGGTCTAGGGGTATGATTCTTGCTTCGGGTGTGAGAGGTCCCGGGTTCAATTCCTGGACGAGCCCAGCTTTCATTATGGTTCAACAACTAAATTTTCCACTCTTGTTGCATCAGTAGTTTTGTTTCCACATTGCACTCAAAAAAAATACCCATGTTCCATGGCTCGTTGGTCTAGGAGTATCATTCTCGCTTTGATTGCGAGAGGTCCCAGGTTCAAATCCTGGAAGAACCCAGCTTTAACTATGGTTTAACACCTAAATTTTCCACTCTTTTTGCATCTGTAGTTTTGTTTCTACTTTGGCACATAAAATAAAACCCATACACCATGGCTCGTTGGTCTGGGGATATGATTCTCGCTTTGAGTGCGAGAGGTCCCGGGTTCAAGTCCTGGGTTCAAATCCCAGGCGAGCCCATCTTTAAATATGGTTTAACACCTAAATTTTCCACTCTTTTTGCATCTGTAGTTTTCTTTCCACTTTGCAGACCAAATAAAACCCAGGTTCCATGGCTCGTTTGTCTAGGGGTATGATTCTTGCTTAGAGTGCGAGAGGTCCCGGGTTTAAATCCCGGATGAGCCCAGCTTTCCTCATGGTTCAACAAAAACACTTTCCACCCTTGTTGCATCTGTAGTTTTGTTTCCACTTTGCACACCAAATAAAACCCAGGTTCCATGGCTTGTTGGTCTAGGGGTATGATTCTCGCTTTGGGTGCGAGAGGTCCCGGGTTCAAATCCTGGACGAGCCCATCTTTAATTTGGTTCAACACCTATATTTTCTATGTGTTTTGCATCAATAGTTTTGTTTCCACATTGCACACCAAAAGAAAACCCATGTTCAATGGCTCGTTGGTCTAGGGGTATGATTCTTCCTTCGGGTGCGAGAGGTACCGGGTTCAAATCCCGTACGAGCCCAGCTTTCATTATGGTTCAACAACTAAATTTTCCACTCTTGTTGCATTTGTAGTTTTCTTTCCACTTTGCACAACAAATAAAAACCCATACGCCTAGGCTCGTTGGTCTAGGGGTTTGATTCTCGCTTTGAGAGCGAGAGGTCCCGGGTTCAAATCCTGGACGAGCCCAGCTTTAATTATGGTTTAACACCTAAATATTCCACCCTTGTTGCATCTGTAGTTTTTTTGCACTTTGCACAGCAAATAAAACCAATACAAGATGGCTCGTTGGTCTAGGGGTACGATTCTCGCTTACGGTTCGAGAGGTTGCGGGTTCAAATCCAGGACGAGTCCAGCTTTAATTATGGTTCAACACCTAAATTTTTCACCCTTATTGCATCTGTAGATTTGTTTCCACATTGCACACCAAAAGAATTCCTATGTTACATGGCTTGTTGGTCTAGGGGTATGATTCTCGCTTAGGGTGTGAGAGGTCCAGGGTTTAATTCCCGGACGAGCCCAGCTTGCATTATGGTTCAACAACTAAATTTTCCAACCTTGTTGCATATGTAGTTTTGTTTCCACTTTGAACACCAAATAAAACCAAGATTCCAAGGCTCGTTGGTCTAGGGGTATGATTCTTGCTTAGGGTGCGAGAGGTCCCGGGTTCAAATCCCGGATGAGCCCAGCTTTCCTCATGGTTCAACAAATACATTTTCCACCCTTGTTGCATCTGTAGTTTTGTTTCCACTTTGCACACCAAATAAAACCCAGGTACCATGGCTCGTTGGTCTAGGGATTTGATTCTCACTTAGGGTGCGAGAGGCCCCGGGTTCAAATCCCGGACGAGCCCAGCTTTAATTTTGGTTCAACACCTATGTTTTCCATGTGTTTTGCATCAGTAGTTTTGTTTCCACATTACACACCAAAAGAAAACCCATGTACCATGGCTCGTTGGTCTAGAGGTATGACTCTTGCTTCGACTGCGAGAGGTCCGTGGTTCAAATCCTTGACAAGCCCAGCTTTCATTATGGTTCAACAACTAAATTTTCCAACCTTGTTGCATCTGTAGTTTTGTTTCCACTTTGGCACAACAAATAAATCCCATACACCATGGCTCGTTGGTCTAGGGATATGATTCTCGATTTGAGTGCGAGAGGTCCTGGGTTCAAGTCCTGAGCTCAAATCCCGGGCAAGCCCATCTTTAAATATGGTTCAACACCTCAATTTTCCACTCTTTGTTGCAGCTGTAGTTTTCTTTCCACTTTGCACACCAAATACAACTCATACACCATGGCTCGTTGGTCTAGGGGTATGATGCTCGCTTTGGGTGTGAGAGGTCCCGGGTTCTAATCCTGGACGAGCCCAGCTTTCATTATGGTTTAACAACTAAATTTTCCAACCTTGTTGCATCTGTAGTTTTGTTTCCACATTGCACATCAAAAGGAAACCAATATTCCATGGCTTGTTGGACTAGGGGTATGATTCTCGCTTTGAATGCGAGAGGTCCTGGTTTCAAATCCCGGATGAGCCCAGCTTTCCTCATGGTTCAACAAATACATTTTCCACCCTTGTTGCATCTGTAGTTTTGTTTCCACTTTGCACACCAAATAAAACCCAGGTTCCATGGCTCGTTGTTCTAGGGGAATGATTCTCGCTTTGGGCGCGAGAGGTCCTGGGTTCGAACTCCGGATGAGCCCAGCTTTCCTCATGGTTCTACAAATACATTTTCCACCCTTGTTGCATCTGTAGTTTTGTTTCCACTTTGCACACCAAATAAAAACCAGGTTCCATGGCTCGTTGGTCTAGGGGTATGATTCTCGCTTTGGGTGCGAGAGGTCCTGGGTTCGAATCCCGGATGAGCCCAGCTTTCCTCATGTTTCAACAAATACATTTTCCACCCTTGTTGCATCTGTAGTTTTGTTTCCACTTTGCACACCAAATAAAACCCAGGTTCCATGGCTCGTTGGTCTAGGGGTATGATTCTTGCTTTGGGTGCGGGAGGTCCCGGGTTCAAATCCCGGATGAGCCCAGCTTTCCTCATGGTTCAAAAAATACATTTTCCACCCTTGTTGCATCTGTAGTTTTGTTTCCACTTTGCACACCAAATAAAACCCAGGTACCATGGCTCGTTGGTCTAGGGGTATGATTCTCGCTTCGGGTGCGAGAGGTCACGGGTTCAAATCCCGGATGAGCCCAGGTTTCATTATGGTTCAACAACTAAATTTTCCACTCTTGTTGCATTTGTAGTTTTCTTTCCACTTTGCACAACAAATAAAAATCCATACGCCTAGGCTCGTTGGTCTAGGGGTATGATTCTCGCTTTGAGTGCGAGAGGTCCCGGGTTCAAATCCTGGACGAGCCCAGCTTTCATTATGGTTCAACACCTAAATTTTCCACCCTTGTTGCATCTGTAGTTTTTTTGCACTTTGCACAGCAAATAAAACCAATACAACAAGGCTCGTTGGTCTAGGGGTACGATTCTCGCTTACAGTTCGAGAGGTCCTGGGTTCAAATCCAGGACGAGCCCAGCTTTAATTATGGTTCAACACCTAAATTTTTCACCCTTGTTGCATCTGTAGATTTGTTTCCACATTGCACACCAAAAGAATTCCTATGTTCCATGGCTTGTTGGTCTAGGGGTATGATTCTCGCTTAGGTGCGAGAGGTCCCGGGTTTAATTCCCGGACAAGCCCAGCTTCATTATGGTTTAACAACTAAATTTTCCAACCTTGTTGCATCTGCAGTTTTGTTTCCACATTGCACACCAAAAGAAAACCCATGTTCCATAGCTCGTTGGTCCAGGGGTATTATTTTCGCTTATGATGCGAGAGGTCCTGGGTTCAAATCCTAGACGAGCCCAGCTTTCATTATGGTTCAACAACTAAATTTTCAACCTTGTTGCATCTGTAGTTTTGTTTCCACATTGCACACCAAAAGAAAATCCATGTTCCATGGCTCGTTGGTCTCGGGGTATGATTCTTGCTTTGGGTGCCAGAGGTCCCGGGTTCAAATCCCGGTCGAGCCCAGCTTTCACTATGGTTCAACAACTAAATGTTCCAACCTTGTTGCATCTGTAGTTTTGTTTCCACATTGCACACCAAAAGTAAACCAACATTCCATGGCTTGTTGGACTAGGGGTATGATTCTTGCTTTGAATGCGAGAGATCCCATGTTCAAATCCAGGAAGAACCCAGCTTTAACTATGGTTTAACACCTAAATTTTCCATCTTTTTGCATCTGTAGTTTTCTTTCCATTTGCACACCAAATAAAGCCTCCATGGCTCGTTGGGGGTGATTCTCGCTTTGGGTGTGAGAGGTCCCGGGTTCAAATCTTGGAGACCCAGCTTTAATTATGGTTCAACACCTAAATTTTCCACCCTTGTTGCAGCTGTAGTTTTCTTTCCACTTTGCACACCAAATAAAACCAAAGTTCCATGGCTCGTTGGTCTAGAGGTATGATTCTCGCTTTGGGTGTGAGAGGTCCCGGGTTCAAATCCCGGACGAGCCCAGCTTTCATAATGGTTCAACAACTAAATTTTCCAACCTTGTTGCATCTGTAGTTTTGTTTCCATTTGTACACCAAATAAAACCCACATTCCATGGCTCGTTGGTCTAGGGGTATGATTCTCGCTTTGGGTGCGAGTGGTCCCGGGTTTAATTATGGTTCAACACCTAAATTTTTTACCCTTGTTGCATCTGTAGTTTTGTTTCCACTTTGCACACCAAAAGAGTATGCATGTTCCATGGCTCGTTGGTCTCGGGGTATGATTCTTGCTTCGAGTGAGAGAGGTCCTGGGTTCAGAGCCCAGACAAGACCAGCTTTCATATTGGTTCAACAACTAAATTTGCCAATCTTGTTGAATCTGTAGTTTTGTTTACACTTTGGACACCAAATAAAACCAAGGTTCCAAGGCACCTTGGTCTAGGGCTATTATCCTCGCTTAGGGTGCGAGAGGTCCCTGGTTCAAATCCCAGATGAGCCCAGCTTACATTATGGTTCATCAACAAAATTTTCCAACCTTGTTGCATTTGTAGTTTTGTTTCCACATTGCTCACCAAAAGATGCCGCATTTTCCATGGCTCGTTGGTCTTGGGGTATGATTCTTGCTTCGGGTGCGAGAGGTCCAGGGTTCAAACCCTGGGCGAGCCCAGCTTTCATTATGGTTCAACAACTACATTTTCCAACCTTGTTGCATCTGTAGTTTTGTTTCCACTTTCCACAGCAAATAAAATCCATGTTCCATGGCTCGTTGGTCTAGGGGTATGATTCTCGCTTTGGGTGCGAGAGGTCCCGGGTTCAAATCCCGGATGAGCCCAGCTTTCCTCATGGTTCAACAAATACATTTTCCACCCTTGTTGCATCTGTAGTTTTGTTTCCACTTGCAATAAAACCCAGGTTCCATGGCTCGTTGGTCTAGGGGTATGATTCTCGCTTTGGGTGCGAGAGGTCCCGGGTTCAAATCCTGGAAAGCCCAGCTTTAATTTTGGTTCAACACCTATATTTTCCATGTGTTTTGCATCAATAGTTTTGTTTCCACATTGCACACCAAAAGAAAACCCATGTTCCATGGCTCGTTGGTCTAGGGGTATGATTCTTGCTTTGGGTGCGAGAGGTCCCGGGTTCAAATCCCGGATGAGCCCAGCTTTCCTCATGGTTCAACAAATACATTTTCCACCCTTGTTGCATCTGTAGTTTTGTTTCCACTTTGAACACCAAATAAAACCAAGTTCCAAGGCTCGTTGGTCTAGGGGTATGATTCTTCGCTTAGGGTGCGAGAGGTCCCGGGTTCAAATCCTGGACGAGCCCAGCTTTCATTATGG